TAAAAGATTACAATTATTTGAAAATTCAACAACTCATTATTCAAACAAGATTAGTTGTCGTGTAATAAATCTCAAGGACAAAGAAAAATTGATGACAATAATCATTAATTTTGCCAAAATGGGCTATGTATGCCAACCCAAAAGTGTTGAATTTAGGGTTCATTTGGTTTGCTAAAAAGCAAGTTTTAGAAATCATATTTTTTGTTTGGGAACTATATGAAAAATTGCTCAATGGAAAATAGTTACAATCAACAAAAAATACAATAAATATTTTCTAAAAAATCACTTTTGGATTAAATTTCTAGAAGTCATTTTCACCCTTCAAAACATGTGGATCTCAGTTCTGAATGAAAAATTACGTGGATATTATGTCCAATTGTCAATCAATAGCCTTTAATTCATTTAAACTTTGCCAGTATCAAATCCACCATGTTTACGCAATACTAGATAATTTCAAACAATTTAGAGATTAAAAATGATGCACTAGAAGATGTTCTTTGCATATAGGAGTTTCAAAGAGAAGATGTGGTAGAGGAAAGAGAAGGTGAGCTATCTCAAACCAGGGTGTTGAGATGACAATTCTTGATGGGAATTGCATTGGTTCAATACTTTGTGGGTCCATTGAAGGTAAGTTTTAACAACTTAAAATTCACAAAGGGATCCATTGAGATTGAGTTCCTAAAATCCCTTGCTTTGGGCTGCCATACTAAAACTAAAGTCTCTTTTAGTTACCAAAGAATTGGAAACAAAAGGGAAAATGCAAGGTTTCTAGAGAATCAAAGATTAAAAGAAAAATTCTTGTTTAAGAATCAACTCTCCTCTTAAGAGTATAAAGCTCTCCATGTTTCATTGTAGTTTTTATTTATTTATTTATTAAATGTGACTTTCTTTTCAAATGATATGATTAAAATTTTTTAAATAATAAATTTGATTATATTTTAATATTTAGATTTAATTTCAAATCTTTAGTTGATTAATATTTTGAAAATTTTGAATATTTTCTATAGCTTACCAAGCAATGGAAAATATTTTCTCTAGAGTCAAAGTATTAGACAAAAAACTTTAAAAAATAAAGTATTTTTCAAGATAAAATTATCTTTTGTGAACCAAACAAACCTTTAAACATAATTATATCAAATTAGTGAACAACTCATTCATTTTATTAGAGATAGGGATAGAGCCAAGGGGTGTGATGGGGTGAACATCCCTTGGACTTTTGAAAAAAAAAAAAAGGTCTTATATTTTTGAAAAAAAATTAAATGAACCCTTATTCAAAAAATAAAGTAGTGTATTTTAACTTTTATTTTTTTATAAGTCATATGATTATTTTGAATATATTTTAATAAAATATATATTTTTTAGTTACAATGAACCAATGGTAATTGGCCAAAAAAATAATTAATGAAAAGTTTTGTTGTACAACAAATATTAACCACTTGACAAGTAAGATAGATTTATGAAAATATTTTTATTTATTTGACATATATATTATTGTAATATACACTCAATTAATGATTATTAGTACCAAGCAACAAAATAAAATTACTTGAAATCAATATTATCAATTTTTTAAAACATTTAGTTTTATTATATGAAATATCTTGAGTAATATTTTGTAATAAAAGTGCTTTAAATTAAAATGTAATTATATATAAATTTTAATTAGTGTTTTTATATTTAAGGCCTTTAAAATTTTAGTTTTTGTGTATTTAAGTCTAAGTTTTATTAACAAGTTACGAAGTTCATTTTTAATGTATATATTTCAAATAATACTTCGCTTCCTAAAGTTATTTTCTAACTCCACCCTAACTAAGAACCTCTGAAGAAAATATGGCACTATATTAAAGCTTATCAAATAACTTAAAACAACTCAGATGTGCCACATGTCCATTGCTAAAGAATCCTCAATCATTAAACTGCTCATAAACCTAATATAACACACTCAAAATGATTAAAATGACATAGCATATAAATACCCCTTTTTTTCTTCCTTTTCACATAATAACAACACAATAGCAACATAGACATACAAAATCATTTCCTGAACAAGCCAAACTCATGCTTCCTCTAGAGGTTCTTATCTTTTACACTATTTTATGCACTTGTTCCTTGCATCCATTATCATCCATGGGTGAACTTCGTTATGGTTAGAATATCATCACTTCCATGCACATTAGCTTGTAGTTTTCTTCTCTTGGGCATTAGTAAATCAAGCACCATCAAAATTAGTATCCACAGGTTTAGTCAAATCCTCCATTAAGGCTTTCATAATAGTCATTCTTTCTTTCCAATTTTTCTCCTGCATGTAAGAGTTTCAAGTTGCAAAATTGTTGTCATTTGTATTCTAAAGATGAGATTTATCCATTTTAATGGTATGTTTATTGCTACTATCAATATTGTTAATACCACCAAAATTTTGGTTTTTATTTTTTATTTTTTTATTTTTATTTTTTAATATAAAAAAACTATCTATTTGTTGATTTATTTGGATTTATTAACTAATAAATATCAATTGTTCTATTAGTTATTAGTTTAGGGTTACAACTATTAATTATTTTTATTAGTCAAATTAAATAAAATCAATATTCATAAAGGTAATATTTTATAGTTTTGGTAGTCATGATATTATTGTTGGTGGCCATAACTATGCCTTTATTTTAGGGTTTGTGTATTTGTCAAAGATAGTAAGGGACATATTTATTGTGTACTTCATTTCTCAAGAATGTATTGCATATAGATGTATTCTATTTATTTTGTTATATTAATTGTTCATCATCTCTATCCAAGCTCTTTTTATTACATTGTTGATTGTTCATCAATATCTTTTGATGGTTGTATAATTATTATTTTTCTAGTTCATCGTGCATGCATCTTTTTTAACTTCATTGGAGGGATCTCAAATATCATTTTTGCTAGAAAGGACTCTGGTCATAGCCCCCTCATAGGTGAAACAAGTTGAACCGTAAGAACCCCTTATTTTTCATTAGGGCATCCAAATCAGCATCCACATTAGCCTTTGATTTTTTTCCTTTTTTTTTTTTTTTTGGTCTAGACCCTTTGAGTTGTTGACTAGGTATGCTATATATAGTTGTATAGTTATTTTTGTACATCTTCAAAAAGTTTTCTTCCTTTGTTTTAGTGCATTTGATAATAGGTTATATAATAAATGATATCCCTCTTATTTTTCCAAATTTTGCTTGTACAACTCAAAATTCAAATTTGAGACTTTTCAAGTTAAATTTTCAAGTTCTTCATTGATCAAAGATAAGTGAAGGGGAGAAAAAACTATATGAACTAATTGACATCGACAATAAAGATGGTTCTAGCGTGACCATATATAAAAACCAAAATTAAAGTTAGACTAGTTAAATTCAAATCAAACCAATTATCGTAATTTAATATTTCATAAAAAATTTTAATTATTTTTGGCAACATCATTATTCATTTGATTCATCTAATGACCTCAATTAGTTTTGATTGGAATTGTTGCACGATAATGTAGGTTATACTTTTTTATCTTTTATTATTGAAAAAAATATAAAATATTAATTAAAATTACTAAAATTATAAAAAAATATATTAATTTAAGATAATTATTATAAATTTACTTTTTTAAAAGAGATACTATGTTAAAAAAAATATTATATACAATTATTCTAAATAAAGTCTAAGAATTTAAAACTCTTAATCTGAGTTTAAAATTTTTAAAACATTAATTGTAACGGAAATACTATAATTACAATATTATATAAGATTATAAACCTATAATCATAACATATTATTAAGTGTAACGTGTCATTAAATGAATAAATATAAAATATTATAGGTAAACCACTAATTGACAATAGATAATTATATAATAACATAACATATTGTATGTTTATAATGTCACATAATATTATAAGCATATCATTTTTGTTAACCCCAACTTCACACAACACAAGAATCCCAAATTAATCCTATGAAAGGAACTCACTCTTAATTAAGTTTAAGAACATTAACCTCATCTTTCCACCTTCTAGCAATTCCAAATAAAATCTAAGAAATTGACTAACTCTTAATTTGAGTTTAAAAACATTAACCCCACCTCTACATCTCTTTATCACATTAAAAAGAAAGACAATCCAACACAAAATTAGTCCCTATATATATATAAACTAACCTTACACTTCTCAATTGAGAGGAGTAAGTTTAATTTAAGGAAAATAAAGAAAATAAAAAAATTTTACCAATCAAATTAAATAAAAAGTTTTCTCTTCCTGTTTATTTATTTTTCTCAAACTAAATATACCCTCAAGGCATGTTTAGCATGGAAAGAAACTTTCCCTTTTATTAAGAAAAGTTTATGGTCATTTTAAAATTTTTACACCTCAATACTATATAACAAATATATCACAAAATTAATATTTAAAATTTTTTTCTCTAATATAATTTTTAATAAACAATATTTTCTTCCAATATTTTTTGAAAAAAATTCTCAATATGAAATTCACTTAACAATTTTTTTATTAATATTTTAATAGTAATTTTTTATAAAACATAAAAAAATTACTAAATTCAATAAAATCTAAAAAAAATTTTATTATAAAATTTATCTATTTTCTTATAATAATTTTTAACTTTTCATATAATATTTTTTTTCCAACCTGTTTAATAAAAACTTTCCCCCTAAAATTAGTCTTTAACGAAACGCACCTTGGAAGTGGCCCAGTCTTCAATCGCCTTCCATCCGATCTACTGATATCAAATTTCACAAAAAGGTAATACCATCATTGTAGATGTTCCGCAAACGCACCTTGGATGTGGCCCAGTCTTCAATCGCCTTCCAACCAATCTACTGATATCAAATTTCACAAAGAAGTATTACCATCATTATAGAGGTTCCGCGACCTACCTTATCAAAGCCCAAACCTTGTCACCACTGATTTTGGACTAAAAAAGCCCCAAAACTATTATTCTCCCTCTATCCATGCCTCTCTCTCCCATTCCAGGCGCATAGGTTTTCCGTTTTCCTCTCTCTTTTGCGAATCAGACGCAAAGCCCCCCACCCCACTGTCCCTCTTTGCAATTCCTAGAAAATTTTTGGGTTCTTATACTAAAGATTATAAAAATTTCCCCATACGAAAGTTTTAATCTCGAAGTCCCCAACTCCCAACACGAACTAACACATACATTTCCACTCTCATCAAGAAAGAGCTAGGGTTTATTCTCACGGTTACGGGTTAGATTTTTGGATTCCGGTCCTCTGATTGTTCTGATCTGCTCATGGATTCACGAGATTCATTATCGTCAACGCCTTTGAATCGGGACGGGCCTTCCGGTGATGACGATGGCGTTCTTTCCGTTACTGCCGCTCTCGCTAAGGATGCAGCTCTCTATTTCCAGTCTAAGAAGTTTGCCGAGTGCGTTGAGGTCTTGAATCAGCTCAAGCAGAAGAAAGAAGACGATCCCAAGGTAGTATTTTGCATTACTAATGTTTGTCTATTTGGATGTATCTCAGAATTTATAAATGGGCATGCTTTTGGGAAACTGATTGTGTTGCGTTATTTTGTTAATGGTTGAATAATTTCCAAATTTTTCTAGTTATTTTTAGTGATTGGGTAATGCTTTTGCTGGTTCCTTCTTGTTTCCTGTGTCTCTGGAAAGAAATGGATCGAGTTTTCATGTTAAGTAAATAATGGTAATTGGTTGTTCTTGAAGATCTCTTTTGTTGGCTGCCAAAATTGTTATTCATTCTGATGATTTGATGTTCTATGGAGTGCTGTTTAGCCATTCACACAACCATCTAAATGTGAAAATTAGAAAAAGTAGATATTATTTTCTGTCTAGTTGATCAGTCATGTTGTCAATCAAAAAGGTATGCTGTCATCTTAACATATTTGGGTATTCCATTCACATATTTGTTTGTCTCATGACTGCCTACCTTTTCTGTTTATTGTGAAAAGGTTCTATCGATTAGTGTGGGTTGTGCAATTTATTAAGCTAATACCCATATCATCGGCAGAGGGGGTGAGCAGTGACCCTAGTGAATAATGCACATTAGCTATTGAATTCTAGTTGATTGAATTTGAAAGTGATTTCATAGGTTCACGGTCACTATATTTAGATATTGAGAACTTGCAGGGGTGTGGACTTGTTCTGCCTTGTGTTGAAGATGCCTCAAAGTCTCAAATGCTTAACTGTTTAATTTGTTAATATTTTGATTTTTGGTGGCCATTCTCTATATGAAACATGATCTATTGTTAAATGATGTGTTCCTGACAAAGATGAACGTGAAAGATCAACAAAATCTTTACCTGAGAAATTGCCTTCTCCTGGCAAACACTCTTCTAATTGAGAAAGTTTACACCACTAACAAGTTTTGCTATTTGATTAATCTTGCACCAACCTTTGTCCTACTGTAATTAGTATTTTATAATGAACAGAACATTTTTCCAAAAGTAAATTTTGTATTGGCCTACAGTTAACATATGGAAAAATTCAGTGACAAAATTTCTCAGTTTAAAATTCTTAATGGGACTAGTTGTAATGTTGATTCTTTTATTCAGTTTATTGTTGATCTAGCTAAGATACAGTTTCTAAGCCCTTTTGTCCTTTGTTGGAGTATAATTAAATTATCATAAAGATAATAATGCTGATTGTTATTCAACAGTTTAGCTCAAATATGTAACACGTCTTATATCTGATCCTTTTTGTTGGAGAAAATTTGAACTTCTTTTGATTCAATGGATTATTTGGCAGGTTCTTCATAATATTGCAATTGCAGAATACTTTAGGGATGGTTGCTTAGATCCAAAGAAGTTGCTTGAAGTGCTTAAAAATGTCAAGGTGTGCTGTTTTCCTCTTTTTTCCCCCCTCTCTTTAGGTTTACTTTTCCATGAAGTTAAGCTTTTATTGATCCTCCATTCATCTTGCAAAATTTATATTGTGAAAAGAAATTTAGTATCATTTTTACTATTTGGTTATTGGCTATAAGAGGAGATGGATGATATTATCTTTTTTTTGCTTGTATGTAGCATAAACCACAAACGTTTAAGAAAGTGGGTTACATTAGCTCCCATCAAGGAAGTGGGTTTTCATTTTGCTTGAGAGAGGAGATGGGAAAAATGCTTGTCTTTATTCTTGAAGTTTTATGATATACTTCTTTTCATTATTAAATTACAAAATTTTCTTAGAATTATTTGATTCTAATTCTCTGTATTTCTGATATATTTTAATGAGAAATGGTTGCCCATTT